GGGAGTAAGTAAACAGGATGCAATGCTCAGAGTTAGTTATTTATTCTTGCCAGTGAGATAATATTGAAAACATTGAATGCCGCATCCTGATAGTAGAACCTTACTTATGTTACAGCGATGTGGCAATGCTAGCCCGGGCCTCAGTTAGTGGAGATGAGAGTGCTCTGGACATGTTCAGTTGGAAGGGAGCACCTCTCAAGATGGGCCCACAGGAGGGCCTCGCATTCTACGTCAGCACCGCAGACGGTGAGAGTTTTGTTTTTGTTGTCCTCGTTGCGCGCAGCATTTTAAGTACATTTGCTGTCGTGAAGAATTATTGCACCACCGTGAGCGTGTTTACTGAAAGCCGCGTTGTGTCGTTCATGACTTTTACAATCTCGTACCTTGTATATAGGTAAGGTCCACAGCGTGGATGAGCTTTGTAAGACGAGCACACTTCTCAGTGTGGAGGGCGCAGTCAAGAAGCTGCTCTATCTGGAGAAACGAGAGGTACTCGCTGTGATCACGGAGACCCTGATGTTGTCACAGTATACTCTTGGACCTGAGGGAGGAGCCCAGGAATTTATGAAGGTACACAAAAATCATCGGAGATAAAAAAAAATGTTTTTCTTAAGGTCAGTTTCTTTTGTGAACATGTTTTTTTTTCACGATAGGTGAAGTTGAGCAGCAAGACCGGGCAGAACGTAGACATTGTCTGGACAGCGAACGGCCTCCTTATCACAGCAACGGGGGAGCAGGTCATCAGGTCAGTGTACACACACTGTTTGTTGCACACATACCTAACATTCCAATTGTGAACTTGAATATCTGTCATTGTTTTTAGGCTGTGGGACCTGGATGGAGACGACAACTATGTTTTGTCCCTCAACGAGACTCTGGGGTTTGAGAGAGGAGAGATGATCAACTGTGTTGCATATTGTGAAGCAAAAGGTAACAGCTACATTTTCATCCCCTTGTGTGAACAGTATAAAGTGCTCTTAAACCTAATTGTTTTTGTATTGTGTTTTTGGCCACCCCCAGAAATCTTGGCAGCTGGCACCAGCCAAGGCCGCATAGCGATGTGGAAGATGGTGGTGCAGCCAGGCGGTGTCAGAGGTGATACCAAGGCCCAGTGGAAGCTGCAGACACCCACAGAAATAGAAGGAAATGTCATTCAGCTGCAGGTACTGTCTGGACTAGCATTTCTTACTAAATGTGACATCAGCACATACAAATAAATATAATATTCCGCTGGGAAAGTTCACTCAGGCCTTCCATTTCAGTGGGGCACCAGCCTGAATCTGCTGGCGGCCAACAATTCCAACACAGTGCGGATTCTGTGTGAGCATGTGATGTCGGCCCATTTCAGCCAGCAGGTGGCAGCGGTGCAGCTCACCCCGACCCAGCTCAGCATCACTCTGTTCACCACAGGAGTGAACCTGGCTCTGCAGTCTGACATGCACATCAAGGGAGTGTGTGCTACTAAGGTAAGTCTCTGTACTTGAAGAGGCCACAGTGTGTAGCATGTACGGGGCTCTATTGGCAGAAATGGAATATAATATCATAACACAAGTATGTTTTCTTTAGTGCATAATCACCTATATTTCTGCATTAACCTAGAACTGATAAACCAAACACCGGCTCCAGTTAGGGCCTTTTGTGTTTTTGCGTTGGCCACCGTAGCTTAAAGTTTCACAATCTGTAACCTCACCCCTCGATGCAACACAACGGACCTTTAAGAAAAGACAACGACCGCCTCTACAAAGGTTTTCTCATGAAGACGAGTAAACATTGAAATAGAAATCCTTGTAACTGGATGTGTGTTGTCACGCCAACAGGATTCAGTGACAGTCTGGAGCGGCAAGCAGGTCACGGTGTACGAGCTCTCAGGGACAGTTCTTCGCAATACAGGTACGGGACTGAAGCCGACTGAACAGACCAAACAACATGTTATAGATGTGACACTGCACCGATTCCCGTGTACTTCATCCACTGCCTTCATTTGTAAACTTGTGCTTTTCTCCTTCATTTTTCTAAACTCTCTCTTTTTCCACCTCCCCTCTTGCTGATTGCCCAGGATCGTTTCCTTGTGACTCCCATGTCGTAGCTGTGCATGGGGAGAACCTCTACACGGTGGAACCTAACAGGGTTCAGATTCGTACGCCACAGGTCTGTTGTCCCACCCTGGGACCTACTATCCAATATTCACTAAACACAGAGAAGGGACACAAATGTTTGAGCGTGCATTTTATAAACACAAACCTGGTGTTGTTGTTTTACTGCTGAATTAGAATTTCCTTTTAAATAAGCGTAAACACACAGGCAAGTGGTGTTTGACACTCTAAAGTGGTTAATTGTTGAGTCATCTTTTTTCCTCTCTTATTTAGGGCACCGTGAAGCAACTGCTGACCTTTTCCAAGGCCGAGGGCAATCCTGTACTCCTCAGTGTGTGTCAGTCTTACCTGGTGGTAGGCACAGACACGGCACACATCCGAGTATTTGACCTCTCCAGAAGGTATATAATGTTAATGAGGACGTTGGTATCACTTCAGCTCTGGTGTCTTTCAATGAAAAAGTAATAAAAAGAAAGCCAGTTAACTTCCACGTATTTAAAATTTCTCATTGATTACTTCTATGATCCAAATACTACTACGTCTTCCTGTCTGTCTTTACAGAGATGCCAAAGCTCACTGCAGTGCTAAGAACCTGGCTGAGCAGATTGCTAATCTGGGAGCCTTGAAGTCCGTCAAATGTAACGCCAGCGGCACCCAAGTCAGCATCCTCATCTCTCAGGTGAATGGCCAACAAACAGTCACCCTTTCCTTCATATGTGTCTATAATGTGACTATTTCATGTGAATATTTCTTCTTAACTGAACTGTTTAAAACTCTCTCCTTTAGGTTAATGGGCGTCCGGATCACAAAGTGTACTTTTATGACGTTGAGATGGACACTGTGACACACTTTGACTTCTTCGTCGGCAGACCGTCCAGTGGTATCTCACAGCCGGACGAAAGCGAAAGGTAGCTGATGTTGCTTTTGTCTGTGTTTGGATTCTTCCCCCGTAGAGTTTCCTCCTCCCGGTTGTCTAACACTGTACCTGACTGCTCTGTGTCCCAGGCAGCAGTTTCAGGGGACCGAGCTCAGCGGCCGCTGCCCTGTATCTCACTTCTGGGATGAGAGCGAACCTCGTCTTCTCGTTTGCGAGACTGTGCCGATCAGTTCTGAATCCTCATCCACTAGTTTCTTGGAAACGGTAAAGATAGTCCTGTGCAGCTTGCTTACGTTTGAGCATTCTTAGATGATTGATGAGGATTTTAATGAAGTCAATTTCCAAATTGTCTGACAGTGTCTTGCCTTCCTTCTGCTCAGACCGACGTGTCGGTAGTGACGCTCTTCTGTACGCAGGAGCATGGGCTCCTCCTACAGGACTGCTACCCTAAACCTTCAGGCCTGCAGGCGCTCCTCGCTCTGGATGTGCCCTACTATTATTTCAGCTGCAAGGTGAGAACTGTTCTGCTCGTGTGGTGTCTCTTCAGTGGATTGGGTTTAGTCCTTTTTTGTTTGCACCATCACTCTTCTTATGTGAAACTCACGCTGTGTGTTTTGGTCTCACGCACCCCAAGCTATTATTTCGGAGGGGGCGTGTCTTTCGACCAGAAGTAAGTGTCTGTCCCTTACAGTCTGTTCAGAAAGCTTACGTATTCTTGACTCCCAACAGCTGTGGTTGTGTATGCTTTGTGCTGCATTTGTGCCTAAATTTAAGTACCGGCTCTCCAATGCAAGATGAGCAGCACAAGTGCATCCCTGGAAAATCTAGATGTCACTATGCTGTGTCCAGTTCCCATCCACCGTGTCTTGATGATTAGATTTGTTCTGTGATGCTTTGTTGTTCTTTGTTTTCCCCATTTTGCAATTTAAAATTGTTTTACTAATAAGGATGATACCTCACAACGTGCTACAGTTATTTACTGGCTTTGAATCGCTTTACCAATTCTTAACACCATGTTTCCCCCCCCCCTGCTGTACCCTTCCTCAGCCTGGTGAGACAGATCCAGCAGAGATTTCAGCCACAACATCAGCAACTCCACAGCAGACCCAGCCGTCGACAGGTTGGGGTCCTGCCCAGATCTCCCACATGGTGTCCAGGCGAGCTCTCAGGGACTTCGTGGGCCTGGAGAACTGTGAGAAGGCAACTCGCGACGCCATGCTCAACTTCAGCTTCTACCTGACCATCGGCGATATGGACGAAGCCTTCAAATCTATCAAGCTCATCAAGAGGTAAGGCCTCAGTACAGGTGGCAGCTCAAAGTAGAGGAGACGTGCAGGATGGCATGTCCTTGTACGGTCGCTGTAACTACATCTCCCAGCAGCCCTTGCCACAGGGGCTTTAGTTCAAAGGCTCAGCAAAGGCCACAGGGATAGCATTGTTGCTATAACCTTGACTCTTCTCAGAATGCTCTACAACAGTTTGCAGTGGGAGAACTGGAACTATTTGCTTTTGACTTACATTGAGAATGTGGCATTGTTGCCTCTTGCTTTTCCAAAACCCGCATGTCATTCGACACCTTCGACTGTAGAGGTCAACATGGAGGAAAACGACCACAATAGTTTTGTAACCTTCATTTTGATTCACTCTCTTTAAGTCTGACAGGTTAACAAAGGCTTAACGCTGCCTGTTTTGTGTTGTCTTATCTCTAAGCTATACAAACAAAGCACGCACTTGTCAGGTGGGTGAAAAAAATACAACACAGTATTTGTCTTTGGAAAAGCGTCCGCATTTTAAATACTGTACATGCCGAATTCCACAAGATATAAAACTAAACCCGGCAGTGTATCATATCGTGATGCTATAATCAAATCAGCTCCACCAGAGAATAACTTTTATTTGATGATGTAAGAACATGAAATCGTATTTGAAACACAGGACACGATTAAGGACTTTTTCTGTGTCTGTGCTTCGGGAAGGAACTCTTGAAATGTGTATATAGGCTTTGCGACTGTTTCTGTTACTGTGCGGGTGTGTTCGGAGGGGATGTACTTTTCTAAACACACTGACTTACACACACACACACACACACATTAGGTCCCGCTTGCCAGCTTGGTGCTAAAGGAGTGCCCTTTCCATTCTTGCAAATATTGAATCAGGTCAGTAAAAGGATGTGCGTGTCTGTTCCTGTGTGTGTTGGGGAAACGTATGTGATTTCAGAACAGATTGGATATTATCTTTAGCAGAATACGTGATTCACGGCACTCGGTCTGAATTCTGCCGTAGTGTTGCTTTGGCGCGTACAAATATAACACAAATGGGAAAATAGCATAAAAACAAATAAATAAGAAATCAGCTTATCACACTGGCCGGATATTCCAGAGAGGTTAATAGGCACGATGACAGCTTTACTAAGTTCCTCATTGATGGCTATTTTTACTGCTGCTTCTCAGGTCAGCATTGTGTTCAATTCCCGCATATCTCCAGCCACAGGAATATGCATTTCCTGTGGCGTAAACCTGTACCTTCTGGGACTTGTCTGTATGCAGATCTTTGAATTGACAAAGACTCTCATACTTGAGTCGGAGACTGGCTGAGTCAAGCTTCTTCCATCTAATACACGGGGCTTTGCTCAGCCTCATCTATGGATGTTGTGAATCAAGTAGAAAAAATGATTAAAGTATCAATTCACCGAATCCAAAAACACATACTCTTACCATGAAAGTCCCTCTGCCTCCCAAAGCAGCATGTCAGACGGGTTGGAATGTCTTTCTTCAGTCCAGACTGTGCTACTTCCTCTCATTCATGTTGTCCTTGACTTCAGGTGACACGCTGCAGGGTTATCGTGCTACATGAATGCAAGTCTACTCTTACTGTCTTTTTGCCACTGCATTTGCTATTTAACAGCATAAAGTCCCCCTTTCCACCAGGAACAAAAACACCCGAGGAAGTGTTCAGGAGTGAAGCCAAGACTGATGGATGATGTTGTAGTCATGAGGTACATGTGACCCTCGTGCTCTCAGTTTATGCCATTTGTCACAGGAAATGTAACTCAAACCATTACAGTTCTTCACCGCTGTTAGTCTGTCATTCCTCTGAGAAGCTATTCCCGTTCCCTGAAGCAAACATTAGAATTTGAATTGTACAAAATGTAAATATCTATATTTATCTTCACAGGTTTGGGGTAAGTTTTTCAATGATGGTATTGGAATTTAAAATGATTCTACCAGTGCACTCGGATAAGAGTGTTAGTGTTCAATAGCGGTAACGCACAACACCTAAAGCAATATACAGTATGAGCAGCACTTATACTGTACTGTGCTATAGCTGACGTGACAGTTCATATGGACTCTTAACAGAATGTTGAGCGAGGTTCATTCTTGACCTTACTCATTTACTGCTGGAGCCTTTTCTTGAGCTTTCAGTCATATCTCACTGCCCTCTTCGAGTGAATGTATATCATCCACTTGTTATCATCTGACATAGGTTGTGTACATAGCACTGTACTCCGGTCACATGATAACGCTTGAGCAAATTCTAGTTGCTGAATAAGGCCGTGGTAGATGGTCAAAAGCTCCAGCAAGAAAGTTAGTAAGTGAACCTTGAGTAAAGAGTATCACAAATACAATTCTGTTGCTAAAGGTTAAACAAATACGTGTTATACGTCATTTCTATGTTGTCCATTTGTCAGGTGTGGTGTTGGACACCGAAACAGCAGCAACATCAACAACAACCACCACTGTGTTTGAATATTTACCAATACATTTATTGACTTTATATGATATATTATTATTTTAATGTGCCCCTATGTTTGACCCACTGATAGCCTGGAGTTATGATATGGTCACAATAATACTACTGCTAATGAGAGCATTATCCGTTATACCAACACATTATATTACTTTGAGTATACAGTATGTACCACAAGCGGGCAGAGCTTTGTGTGGAAGGCCTCGTGACAAAATGCGTTTTTAAAATCTGCATGTCATTTCAAAATGCAGTTTACTTTGTTACCCAAAAAAATCTAAATCACTTCCATTCATTAATTGACAGTTATTTTGTGTTTTTTATATCTTCCATTCTTCAACTGTAAAAATATGAATGTGATAATGACGCATTCAGAGAGAGTAAGAATATTCCCTCTTTTCCGTAGGTTCTTGTTTATTTGATCAAAATATCACCTCTCATTGCTTTAAATTTAAACATGGTCACTGATTTGGTAAAAGCCACTCAAGATGTTTGACTTCTGCTTTCACCTTGTTAGTTTACTTACTTACTTGCAACATACATCATTAATAACAATATGTAATAAACTGGTAATAAGCTTTAAAAGGATGAAAACAAATATGAGGTATTCTGGTATTACATTTTCAACATCTTTCAATAATTTCCAATTTATAATTATGCAGGCGGCCATTTAATAAGTGCACATATAAGAAAACAGGTCAAGTTCCAGCTTGATCTTTCCATGAGCAGGTTGTTCCATTGAAGACGTTTCATATTTGGCCACAAATGAGCTCACCCAAGCATGAATACAGTTTTAAATATGTTTGGAAGCTGAGGGTTGATTTATACATCAATTTAACTTCTGTGCCCTAAGAATCATTATAATTCTGACATCATTGCTTATGGTGGGAGAAGTTGTGAAATATAGAGTTTTACAATTGCAGTACATGTTAGTCCAGCTGCTGTAGAGCCACAGGGAACGCCCTCTTTTCTTGGAGGATAAGCCGGACTAAAACATGTAAAGTTGAGAGCACAGCCTTGTCACTGTGGTCTATTACTCCCTATCCGCTTGGGGTTATGAAGTCCCGTGACTCAACAGGGCGACTCCACATAGTCGTTGTCTAGGCGTGGGTGGAAAGGCGACGCCAGCGAGCGACTGATGATTATAACTCGCGGTGCGAGGCAGTCATCGCGGCGGTGTAGAATGTTCCAGATGAGCATGGCCGCAGCCGTGGTGGCCAGCAGGCAAGCAGCTATGTCCAAGTAGCAGGAGAAGGACAGGTGCGTGTAGGGCCCGATCCTGTAGAAGGTCACGAGTCCAATCAGCAGAACAAAACCTGCACAGGAGCATCGAGAGAAAAAAAGGCTTCAGTCAGGGAAGCCATTCATTCAGTCATTGAGCAACATCTCGTTGTACAGTGAGGTTCCAGTTAGATGTATTTATTGAATGTTTGGCCAAAGAAAAGAAAATGTTCCTCAGGCACTCAGAGCAAGGAGAACATGTTCTGAAGAATATTTTCTTTTCTTTGACTATGTATGTACTTTACTTATTTTAGTTTAGTGCTTTTCTTTTTATATTTGGAAAGAGTGTGTGGATCCCACTTGCTCAAATGTAGACTTCCATCCCTGTAGCCTTGTGTTTCACCGTTCAGCGGAAGCTCTGTGTGGGGCCTTTGAATTTGGAAATCTGTTTCCTCCTCGGGAAGAACTTCTGAGATCAAAGTTCTCAATGGTTTAAAAATATCAGAGCATGAATATGTGTGCGGAAAAAGCCCTTTGAGGTGTTTTATCTCCTGACTTCTTTGATTCACAGGGAGTCATGCAATGAAGAACTCCTGTTTGCATGCGAAGGTAAAAAAGCCACGGCCTTCAATTCCACGCTGTTTCTTTGATCTTACACTTTGTTTTATCAGCGTTATAGTGGAACGTTATTATGAAGTGTGTATGAAAGCCCACAACAATCAATTGCTATAAGTACAAGAAGAAAGGTACAAGTAAGGTCTGGAGCCATGATCCAATAGTTCAACAGTAAAACCTGCCCCGTCCACAGTGGTATAAATACAGGCACTAAAAATATTCACTGGAAATATGGATGTTGGTGCTTTAGGATATGAATCAGTTTCCTGGAAGAATCAGCGGCACCGGGGGGGGTGTCACTTGTATTTCTTTCTCTACGGTGCGATGGCTGTCATTGTTTTTAAGTGAGGATGTAGATAATTGTCTCTGTATCATTGCGTGTCTACACATATCAGAATGCAACTTGTTTGCTCGATCAGTTCGTGTTCAACCTGTTTGGCTCCTTATCCAAGAGAATGAATAATCTCCCGTCCAGGCTCCAGCCAGGGTGCACTGTGTGAACCTCTTTTTTTGGCAGAGACTTATCTCTCAGACTTCCTTCCCCTTCTTCCTCTTTCCATCCTTCCTTCCTTTCCTTCCTCTCCACACCCTAAGCTTTGGAGGTTGATATATATTCGCTGGACATTTGACACGATCTGTCACAGAGAAAGTCTTATCTAAAGGCCAGGTCTTGGAAATGAATTTAGCTGGTTTGCTTTCCACCCAGATAGCTGTGTCTCGGTTCATTTTTAAAGGCACACACGCTTGATTCAAGCTATTAGGCTGCCTGGAGGTCTTGCTCAAACCTTTATCACTCCCTTCATGAATCTCTTGAGCCACAGGTTTCTGGGAAAGGTTTGACTCCTTCCTGAGCCAGATTTAAAAAGCTCTGAAATGAGCCCCCACAGTTGCAATTCCTCAAAATCAAAAGAAATGATAATGTGCGTCTCAGAGGGAGAGAGGACCTGCGGCCATGACTTTTGACATGTTCGTGCTGCGTCCATTCAGAAAACACATTCCAGAGTGAAATGAACAATATGGGCTTTCAGCTTGGCCCTGCCAACACCGCTGAGATATCACTGAATGGAACTGGATATTGTTATTCCACAGTCTGCCTGCAATAGCTGAGAATTTTGGCACGTCTGAAAATGAAAACATTCCTGAGAAAGAGAGTGATTGGTAAAAATATCTCCATTCATTCAGAGCTGAAGCCCATTCACTGACTCTGTGTGGGAGGTCTAAAGTAGGAATGGGGTATTAATTACTGAATAGACTTAATAGTAAAAAGAAACTGTCTTCAGCTGGATATTTAGTAAAGGAACGACAATATTAATGTATTTTTTTTAATCATTTCTTTCTTATTTAAGACGACTAACTAACTTGTATTATTGATGGAGCCAAAATGACATAATTTTCCCTCATTTATGTCATTTTTATCTGTTAAATGTATTAACTTTTCCTGAGTATTCTGCTTTTGGTCTGAAGCATCCCACATGTCATCTCATGACTCAGCAGCTTTGTGGCCATATATGGTAAAAGAGAGTCAAATTGGAAGATGCGTGTTTCCAGAGAGCATCGCTATTTTTAGACGTCAGGGAAGTAGGTGTGTGCTGCGTACTGCTTTGTAGACTTTGTCGCTATTGTTACTAACGGCAACATTTGCAGACGGTCTCATAGGTAATCATCGGTCATATTATCATAACAGCTAAAAATGTTCACCACACATGTTAGTGATAGTGATTTATGTTTATTTTGCCATTGTCTTTGTTAATCAAGCTCTGGTGAGATCACTGGGTCCTGAGATTTGGCTGCTGGGTGGGTCTCAATCCTCTTGCCAAGGTCTTCAGATAAAAGGCCTCGTCCCTGCTGCCCTGAGTGCTGAAGACGCTGACGACAAAGAGGAGATTCTTTGTTCGCCACTGCTTTATGACATTTTGTAAACACAGACATAAAAAGCCAGGCCAGCTTATCGAGACAGAGGCAATTCCCACCCTGCTGTCGTGTGTACCACAGGACGTTTCTTTACCAAAACACACTATAAACACACAATCCCTCCTGCCAGTGCACACACAAACACACAGTCCCTGTTGAAACTGTCTTTCCCGTCCATATACCCCCTCCCCTCGTTTTCCTTCTTCAGCTCTGGGGTTTGCACAACAGGTAGTCACAGACATTTCCTCGTCCTGAGCAGGGATATCCTGGCGCCCGACAGTCGCTCCCTGGCTCGCTGCAGCTCTGGCCCGTGGACTCTGGGACTAGGACTAAATTTAGACCCAGACCCCCCTTCATGCCACTCTGCCATAAAGATACCAACCGGCTGAGCGACCACTACACACAACACACTAACTCACCAGCCAGATCTTGATGTGGCACAGTGGGAAGGCTGCGTGGGTACTGGGTGTGGAGGAGCATTAAAGTTATTTCCCATGCTTATTGATCCTGACGATGGCCCCCTATCTGTTCTCTGGTTTCCTAGTTTCCCCCTATATTGTTTGGCTTTGGCAGTTGTTTTTATTTAGTTCATTTATACTTCTTTCTCTGAGCACCTAAATCAAAAACACTGCTGTCACATTTTACCCACATTATCTATTTTTACCATGGATTTGTACTTACATCACGTAAACATATTGTCTAGCAGCCATTTCCCCAAAAAATCCAAGTTTATTTATTACTGAGTAAACAAAGCAAGAGGTGTGCCGCCTTTTGCTTTTGTCTGGAGGTTTTCACAGTGTCTTTCTGCAGTATTTGTCCCGAGAGCCTGATCTGTAGTGTTGGACAGTCAGCCTGTGATTGTATCCCCTCTCTTTGGCACTCTACCAGAAAGCAGTTGAACCTTGCCCTGCAGCATCTGGATTTTTCCTCTTTCTTTGTGATGTTATGTGCATCGTTTTTTTTGGACAGAAGGATACTTAGCATTTACATCAGATGTGCTTTTTCTGAGGCTTGTTTTCCTGCTGCTGCAAACAAGACAAGTTGCAGAAACTGCTGGTACTCACTGGCTAGCTGGAAGAGCGCAGCGATGGCCTCCTCCCACCACTGGGACTCCTGTGTGATGAAGGGCAGCTCCATCAGGCCGAGGAGGAAGATCAGCTGACCGGCAGTCAAGGCCACCGTAGCCATCAGGTTACATGCCCGCATCATGTCAAATTGCACTTGAGGGACCAGAAGAAGAGCGGTGTCATTATTCCTGCTCTGTGATCTGCATTAATTGGATCTGCATGATAAAGTTCGGTTCGGTCTTGATCTTATATACAGTATACATCTGTAGCATGGTGACATTGCGACGATTAAAGTTTTGTCTTGAATGGAGACGCAGGTCTTTGTCTAACGTTAGTAGGCAACGCTGCCCATTGTGCTAAAGTTGGCACAGCGGAACTTCAGCGGTTCCCAAACTTTTTCTTGAATGGAAACTTCTCAATGGAGCTTCATTTAGCGAAGCAGCACAACACTGACTCTGCCTGAAAACTCATCCCGATAGTGTTTATACTCATGTCAGCAGCATGAGTATAGCATGAAGCGATTGGCTTTAAAATGAATTATATACTATATAAATGATTGGCTGGCTGCCATGTGCTACTGTTTACACTAATACATCAGACTGCCATTGACCTACAGCAAAGTGCTTCGATTGGGTTTCTTCTTGTTGTACAGAATTGTTAATCTAGTGAGTTCAGTTTTAGTTTTTTTGGTTTTGACATGTAGTTAGTCATCTCTGGCCAATCAGAAGCTCCTGAAAATTGAATCTATTTTTTTACTGACTCGCAGTCAAGTTTGTTTCATTACTAAAGAACTGTTACATCTACGCTATATACCAATCAATTAATCCACAAGTCTGATGAGAAATAGATGAGACACTTTGAAGTTTGTTTATATCTTTCTTTTTCTAGAAAGCAGGCATAAATAACATCACATTTTAATTCAAAACTAGCATAAAAACTTACGTCTGACAGTGCTGCGTGATTCTTGGTAGCCTGCATAATCAGAGCCCCATCCCAGGCCTTCGCACTGCCTCTGTGTCCCCTGCCCCCGTCTCCCAGCCTGCAGATCCTCGCGTCCCCTTTCCCCACCCGCGGGACACATCCTCCACAGTCCCACACTCCTCTTGCGTCCGTCGTCCAGGGCCTGCAGGACCCAGCTGGGGGTGAAGGCTGCAACGTTATTAAGGACCAGGGACAGCAGGGCCACTGCCACCGCTGCCGCCACCAGCCTCTGCACGGCCATGCGGCGCCGGACGCCCGCCACCTCTCCCCCTCCCTCGTGTTCCCCCAACGACCCCTGATCCTCGGCAGTGTCCTGCCCGCTTCCCTGCCTCTCCTCTGGGGCAGTAGCACCAGCGGTGCTCTGGGCCCCCGGGCTCCTCTCCACCTCCTCCGCCACCACCACCTCCTCCTCCTCCAGCTGTCCCAGCTCACACAGAGGTGGAATTGCCAAGAGTGTTATCTTGAGGCTTAGCTAACGAACATCTCCATTCATCCTCATTCAGGACTGGATCCTCAGCCCTCCTCCTCAGACAGCACTGCGGGTACGCTGGGATTAATCCAACTGGCACCGTGGTCCATTCCACTGGCTCCGGCTGGCTGCAGCTTGACTCTTAGATCTTGCTCCTTGCTTTATTTTCTCCCTTTCTACTTTGTCGTCTCCTTTTCCGTCTACAGTGCGCTGCTTACTGCACCGGTCTGACTTCTGTGTGTGCAGCTGGATTCTCTGTGTAGGCAGTAGATTTTGTTTCCCTTCAGCACTTCACATTGCCTTCGGAAGAGTACAAATGCAAAAAAAAAGGATAGATTCTAACAGTGTTGCTCGGAGCTGACTTGTCAGTGGCTTTACTGGGTCTCTCAACTAGAAAATCCCACACTGCCTGACTGGAACCAGAAGTCCGTTAACCTACCTCCTTTGGCTTCTTTCTGTCTTTCCCTCTCTCTCTCTCTATCTCTCTCTCTCTCTCTCTCTCTCTCTCTCTCTCTCTCTCTCTCTCTCTCTCTCTCTCTCTCTCTCTCTCTCTCTCTCCCTCGCTCACTGATTCTCTGCAAATCCTTCAGGTCAGAGTTGAAATTTGGGGGAGTTGCTGTTCGTCTATAATCCGAGACCTCAGTTCGCAACTGTAGCAAGCTTTAAACAGACAGTTCCCTCCTTCATGATCACTTTAAACGTGTGTGTGTGTGTCGGTGTGTTTGTGTGAGAGAATGTCCAAAAGACCCCCTCCTAGACGTCACTGTTGTGTATTCTTTTGTCTGGAGCCCAGGGGGCGTTCGCTAAAGTCCTCTCTCTCGTGTGCAACAAACATATTGGCCGGCGCAGTCAGCTAGCAACAGGATGTGTTTCCTGAGAGGAAAAGAGAAAAAGAGGATGGGAAGAGGGGCCAAATGTGGACCTATTCCTTCTCTTGTCTTTCCTTTTTCTGTCTCTCTAGATCTTGCCGCCCTGTGTGCGGCTAGCTCTAGCAGTCCAAGTATCTCACATTTCATTTTCAGGGTTGGTTTTTCTGTGGCCATATAGAGACAGATCTTTGCACAGTTACAGTTGCTCCATTCCCTCCATTTCATAGCAGGGCCCCTAAAGATTTGGGGTATTTCCTGTTGCCTAACTTTAATAAACAGCCCACATCTGTATCAGCTAAAGCAAGGAGGAGGGAGATGGACGCAAATAGAGACCAGATGGCTGTGGAATCTTAAATTTGGAATAGACGCAAAAGCAGCGGGGGTCGAGGGGCTGATTTACGTCAGCAAGACAAAAAAGAGGGAAAAAAGGAAAGACAGAGGTAGAAAAGCACGCCTCTCGCTTTGTGTTAAAGTCCGGCACACATTCCTGTTTCTCTGTGCTTATAGCAGTGTTTGTGTGCATATCTTTTATGGACATTTCTTGTGATCCTGATGCTCCAGTACTAGAGATCTGGCCAGTGAGAACAAAGGGTATATACATATTTTAGACAGCTGTGTCACTATGTTTACATGCACACTAAGGGTGTAGGACTTCAAATAAAGTGTAAATAACTGTGTTTTCACACTTGAATAATAAAATACCAATGCAGTAGGAACACATTACCCTTGCAAACAAGCCGTTTCTCCTCTCTCCGTAGTAAAGCGGTATGGGAAAACATGGCACGGATGTGTGTGAAAACCCGCCAGCTGGATGTGGCACGCGTGTGCCTTGGGAATATGGGAAATGCCAGGGCAGCAAAAGCACTGAAGGAGGCGGAGATTGAGCCCGAGCCAGAAGCCCGAGTGGCTATGTTGGCCATTCAGCTCGGCATGCTGGTAAGATATTCAAGTAGAGTCTAAATCAGGCTTATAGAGTGGCTCGTGCCCATTTTTCTCCACCCAATGTACCTTTCATTCATCTTTGTTTGGCCATAATGTATTCTTTCAGTTTGCATTGCAGCTTTTAAAATTTGAAATATGTCGGATAAAGACATGAAATGTTTATTTAGTAATGTACTATTCTTTCTTTTATCCAGCCACGCTTTCTGTTATCCTTTTTACAACATGCATTCAAAAACATAAACAAAAAGCATTTCATCTTTCCATCATCTTTTCCTGTCGTCCAATAGGAAGATGCAGAAAAGTTGTACAAGTGCTGTCAACGCTATGACCTGCTGAACTATTTCTACCAGGCGTCTGGCCAATGGCAGCAAGCTTTGGAAACAGCAGAGAGCCACGATCGCATCCATCTGCGCACCACCTATTACAACTACGCCAAATACCTGGAGTCCATGGGCGACAAGACCCTGGCCATCGCGTAGTAAGACAGAACATCTGTTGTTGTTTTGTGTCAATGATAACGTAGTTTTTAATTTTAGTAGTTAAGTATTACAAAGTGTGATTGTTGTTACAGTTATGAGAAATCAGACACACACAGGGTCGAAGTGCCCAGAATGCTCCAGGATGACACATCATCTCTAGAGATCTACGTCAACAAAATGAAAGACAAGTAAGTCCAGAGCTTAAATACGGCGGTAAATACTTCATCACCTGAAGAGCACATCATATTTCCATACAATACGCACACGCTACCCTATCATCGGATCTGTCTAGGAACATCTATAAGTGGTGGGCCCAGTACCTGGAGAGCCAGTCAGACATGGATTCAGCGCTGCGTTTCTATGAATGTGCTCAAGATTTCCTCTCTCTGGTTCGAGTCCACTGCTACATGGGGAACATTCAGAAGGTGACTCAGTTTCTATTACGGGTGTAACATCATATTTTATTGGAAAAAATTACATTTTACATTTTATATACTATAAAATAGGAGCTTTGTTGATTATAATATTGACATAGTGAGCTGTCCATACATGTGAGAATGTATTTATTTGCTATACCAGGCATCTGAGATAGCCAATGACACAGGTGACAGGGCAGCGTCGTACCACTTGGCTCGACACTATGAGGGCCATGATGATATCAAACAGGCCGTCCACTTCTACACACGAGCCCAGGCCTACAACAACGCCATACGACTTTGTAAGGTAAAGCTCTGTGTACCTTTCTGCCCGTCCTTAGTTAGAAATCTCTGTGAATACCAAGACTTTTCAGTGGCAGAAATGCTGCACATTCTATATTTTGTTGTGTGTTCGCTCATTGTTGTTGCTGCGCTTTAGTCTTTCTCTCGGTGGGTTGTTGACATGTGCGTGTCGTGTCCTAACAGGAGACGGGCCTGGACGACCAGCTGATGAACCTGGCTCTGCTCAGTAACGCAGAGGACATGATGGAGGCTGCCTGCTACTACGAGGAGAAAGGCACCCACATGGACCGAGCTGTCGCACTCTATCACAAGGTCCCTCACAAATGCATGCTATTTCTGAATGACTTGGGCTATGTTCAGGTTGATGCACTCTAAATATTTCCACAAGGCGGCAGTACTTTGACAGTTTATTTATTTTTGTTGCTGATTTCTCCGCTGTAGGCTGGTTACGTCTCCAAAGCTCTGGAGTTGGCCTTTGCCACCCAGGAGTTCTCTGCACTTCAATTGATCGCTGAGGATCTGAACGAGCACTCTGACCCAGCCCTCCTGGCACGCTGCTCCGACTTCTTCATCACACATTCCCAGTACGATAAGGCAGTGGAGTTACTGGTAGCAGCCAAGAAGGTGACTGTTTATGGCACATCGTCACCCAATACGTGGAAATTTCAGTTCTTAAGCGCATACTTATATGTATCACTCTTTTCATTTTGTGTATGTACGCGAACAAAGTACCATGAAGCCCTGGAGTTGTGCGTGACCCAGAGCTTGACCATCACAGAGGAGCTGGCAGAGAGAATGGTTGTAACTGATTCAAAAGACTTGTCCGAAGAGGCCCGAAAGGAGCTGCTGGAGAGGATAGCGGACTGCTGCATGCGTCAGGGCAATTACCACCTGGCCACCAAGAAATACACACAGGCGGGGAACAAGCTGAAGGTAATACTGTGGTGTGTAGTAAACACTATATATCTTGTCTGGAAGCTAAGAACATCTTACAGGCATCTGTGTGAGACGACAATCTGCATCTGGTCATGAGCGATACATAAACAAATATCCAATGTTACATTTTAGTGGTTGAATGTTGTTGTTTTTTTAAAACAGGCCATGAGGGCACTCCTCAAGTCTGGCGACACAGAGAAAATAGTCTTCTTCGCCAGTGTTTGTCGTCAGAAGGAGCTTTTCATCATGGCCGCCAACTACCTCCAGTCTCTGGACTGGCGCAAAAATCCAGAGATCTTGAAGACAATCATTGGTTTCTACACTAAAGGGAGGGCACCAGACCTGCTGGCTGGCTTCTATGAAGCCTGTGCACAGGTAGAGCAATACTTCATACAACATATTCTGATATTTCGTGATGTTTATTCCTGGTACTTATTGGTCTGGCTTTCAATTGACTATAAGCATTTTGGAAGAAATCTGTTCAATTTAGAGCTGTGGTCTTAAATAGCATCCGTTCTGTAGAATAAATGTTAACTCACAAAAACGAATTATTAAGTTTTAAGTTTTTTTTTCAAATAACAATGTTTACCATTGTTTAGGTGGAGATTGATGATTACCAGAACTATGAAAAAGCTCTAGATGCTTTGACTGAGGCTTTCAAGTGCCTCTCCAAATCAAAGGATTCTTCAACTGGACAACAGGAAGTGAGACTAGCTGACCTGCAGCATAGAGTAACGCTGATCAAGAAGTTTGTCCACGCTCGCCAGTAAGAATATAACTCGTATCTGTTCTCTTTTTTTTCTTCTTCCAAAACAGACATTTTCCTGTGGGAGGGTTTGTTGATTATCTGACTGTGAGATTCTATCTGCAGGTTGTACACGGAGGATGCTGCTGAGGCCGTGCGGTTATGTGAATCCTTGCTGGAGGAGCCGGAGTTGGACCCTGCTGTCAGGATTGGAGATGCATTTGGTTTTCTGGTGGAGCACCACTGTCAGCAAGGCAACTTCCAAGAGGTGACTATCAGTTGTTTCTTCTTTTAATTAATTGAAATGACACTTGAGTACAGGGGAATAGCTGCATTCTGTCAAAGACAGTTTTACATGTCAAATCATATTGATTGTAAGTTGATGTCGGCTCTCCTTTCCATCTTTCTTCCCCAGGCCTACCGTAAGCTGGAGGAGCTCCAGAAGCTTCTGCCATCACAGAACGTCAGGTACTATATTAGCCAGGACAGCCTCGAGTCCCTGGAAAAAGAAATGGGTGTACCCATGACGCGTGGTGACAGCAGGCACAGTGTGAAGGAGGAGGATGAAGTGGAGGAGGACTTAACAGTATCCTAAGTCTCCCTGAGGATTTTATCTTTATTTTGTTAAACAATATAATATATTTTCATATATTTGGATCCTTTATTTATGTGTCTGAAGAATTCATATTTTCAAGCACATGAATATGCAAGAGTCTGCACTTTCTCAGAACGGGAACCGACTGTGCAGAGTTACCAACACATGTCGCGGTAGTAAAATGAGCGCAGTAATGGGTGTGTTG